ACAAATTTGAGGTCGGTCGGACTAAATCCCTAGGAGGAGTTCGTTAAAGTACGAAGTGTGTAAATCATCCAAAATTTGACGTAAAATTCAAAATGGCCGACTTCCTGTTGGGTTTAGGCTATGGCTCCAAGAGACTTTTTTGTGCGTCTGGACAAGATACACGTACCACAGAAAATTCGTGCACGTAGGTAAACGTGCGGCGGGGGCTGCTTCGTTAAAGTCACTTCCTGTTGCCAGCAGGTGGCGCTATGACTGTGGGTGAATGTCAGCATGTACATGTGTTCAGGGCGGGACTCTCATCCTACATGTACAGTTTGGTCCAGATGTGAGCATGTACACTGAAGTTACAACAACTTCCTGTTTCATTGCGAATCATCGACGCCACGGACACGCCCATTGACGAAAACGCGCAAATAGCACAACTTTTCATCGTCAATGCCTTTAGAAGGCACAGCAGAAATTTGACGTCGATCCGACTAAATCCCTAGGAGGAGTTCGTTAAAGTACGAAGTGTGTAAATCATCCAAAAATGGCCGTAAAATTCAAAATGGCCGACTTCCTGTTGACTTTAGGCTATGGGTTCTTGAGGCTTTTTTGTGCGTCTTGATACGATACATGTCCCCAGAAAATTTCGTACATGTAGGTTGAACGTGAACGAGGGGCTAATCATTTCCAATTTTCTAGGTGGCGCTAGCGAGTCATTTTGCCACGCCCATGTGCGAAACTTGTAGAATACGAAATTTTTCACCGGTTCTGACATGTTTGCAAATTTTGGTGAGTTTTCGAGTATGTTTAGGCCATGTCATTTGGGCCTACTTTGCAGAAAAAAAAAAAAAAAAAAAAAAAAAAAATAATAATCCGAGCAAATTCAATAGGGACCTCGCACGGTCGTGCTCGGGCCCTAATTAAAGCTGCAAGCAGCGTTGGGCGGGCCCTCGCACTTGTAGCGCGTCCGCGCGTGAACCGGCCGAGTTGCATATTCTGGAGCTCTGTCGGTGCGGCTGTGAATTTGCTACGCGGTTATGACGCCGCATGAAGGTGTTATATGTCACTTCCTGTGTCCCCTATGTGGAGCTACATAGCACTTGCCGCTATGAATATAAATCGGTATTGGCGTGTAGATGTCTGCGGGGTGGGAGAGTTATCAAGCACGTAAAGTTTGTTTCAGATGTGAGCATGTACACTGAACAATAATGTACCCAAACAATAAAATAAATTCCTTTTATATTTCCCTGCCTTGTTGTTTATGTGTACATACAGAGGAAGAATGTGAGAACAGCACACATTTCATCGTTACTGTGTGTTAGAGCATGGGAGAACAGTGGATACTTTTAATACAGCCCACACCCCTAATACTGTGTAACTATAACAAGTAGAGAACAGAAGAAAAAGATGTTCTTTCTTTACAACTGTCTGCATAGCTTATTCATATTGTGTAATGAATGAAAATAAATAGGCCTACTAGGCTCCTCTCTACTTTGACATTTAAATTAGCTTGTTTGATCCACCTTCATACACATGTGACATTACTGTACAACTTGAGAAAGGTGAGTTGTTTTCTGCTCCAGCCTGCCTAAAAGAAAAGCGTTTTGGGATTAAATGGACTTTATTAGCTGCTGCAGTGCAGGATGAACTCAGAACAGACCCATTTCTCACCTTATTATTCTAAATCATGCAACGAAGAAGAAGAAATGCATAATAAATCCTGGGACAAAATCTGTCCACAAATACTGTACAGCATGTAGTCTGATGAACAAGACTTGTGTTATAGCTGACTTGGGCAGTGAAATGTTTAATTTTTTAATTCAGGTGGTCATAGTTGTCCACAACTCAAATCAGAATATAAGAAGAAATGTTTTATACCACCTCAAGAAGGCTTCCTATCAGAAAGGTAGGAAGGTATTTCAAATGTACAACTGCAGTACTTAAATCTAAGTAAAGTAATTTCCCTGACATTTTTGTGTTACTTTACTTTTAATAGACGCATGTAACAGGTTTTATACTTCCTGTGAGTATAATCCAATCAATCTTATTTTCATACTGTATATCCGATGTGTAATTTGATAAATTGTGTTGTATGTTGTGCTCGCATCTCAGAGAAGACTCTGACTGCAACATGCGTCTTTGTAAAGAGAGAAACGGACATAAAAAGTCTCTAACTCTGCCTGTCAGCTCGCTCTGCTCCGTTAAAACTGAATTTACCATACAGAATTGAATACGAGTGCACTCCAGATTTAGCTGCAGCCAGCTGACCGTGTGCTTCTCCCTATACCGCAGTTCTGTGTCCATGCATGCAGCAAACTGAAAGCACTGTCTGTCGGAGCGTCTACGTGAAAAGAGAAGGAATACATTGCTGGTAGTGTCTTCAGAGTTGTTAAACACCTCAGTGCACTGAAGGAAGCCATCTGACTGTGTGAGGGGCAAGATCGTTGATGTCTGCAGGCAGAGTAGGAGCTCTCTTGTCTGACTGGTCCACCAATAGCAGAGAAGATGACCCCTTGAGTTATCAAGCACGTAAAGTTTTGTTCAGATGTGAGCATGTACACTGAAGTTACAACAACTTCCTGTGTCATGGCGAAGACTTGATCTCTGACGCCACGCCACGGACACACCCATTGACGAAAACTCGCAAATAGCACAACTTTTCATCTTCAATGCCTTTAGAAGGCACAGCACAAATTTGAAGTCGGTCGGACTAAATCCCTAGGAGGAGTTCGTTAAAGTACGAAGTGTGTAAATCATCCAAAATTTGACGTAAAATTCAAAATGGCCGACTTCCTGTTGGGTTTAGGCTATGGCTCCAAGAGACTTTTTTGTGCGTCTGGACAAGATACACGTACCACAGAAAATTCGTGCACGTAGGTGAAACGTGCGGCGGGGGCTGCTTCGTTAAAAGTCACTTCCTGTTGCCAGCAGGTGGCGCTATGACTGTGGGTGAATGTCAGCATGTACATGTGTTCAGGGCGGGACTCTCATCCTACATGTACAGTTTGGTGCAGATGTGAGCATGTACACTGAAGTTATGACAACTTCCGTGTCATGGCGAAGAGTTGATCTTTGACGCCACGCCACGGACACGCCCATTGACGAAAACTTGCAAATAGCACAACTTTTCATCTTCAATGCCTTTAGAAGGCACAGCTGAAATTTGAGGTCGGTCGGACTAAATCCCTAGGAGGAGTTCGTTAAAGTACGAAGTGTGTAAATCATCCAAAATTTGACGTAAAATTCAAAATGGCCGACTTCCTGTTGGGTTTAGGCTATGGCTCCAAGAGACTTTTTTGTGCGTCTGGACAAGATACACGTACCACAGAAAATTCGTGCACGTAGGTGAAACGTGCGGCGGGGGCTGCTTCGTTAAAAGTCACTTTCTATTGCCAGCAGGTGGCGCTATGACTGTGGGTGAATGTCGGCATGTACATGTGTTCAGGGCGGGACTATCATCCTAGATGTACAGTTTGGTCCAGATGTGAGCATGTACACTGAAGTTACAACAACTTCCTGTTTCATAGCGAATCATCGACGCCACGGACACGCCCATTGACGAAAACGCGCAAATAGCACAACTTTTCATCGTCAATGCCTTTAGAAGGCACAGCAGAAATTTGACGTCGATCCGACTAAATCCCTAGGAGGAGTTCGTTAAAGTACGAAGTGTGTAAATCATCCAAAAATGGCCGTAAAATTCAAAATGGCCGACTTCCTGTTGACTTTAGGCTATGGGTTCTTGAGGCTTTTTTGTGCGTCTTGATACGATACATGTCCCCAGAAAATTTCGTACATGTAGGTTGAACGTGAACGAGGGGCTAATTTTTTCCAATTTTCTAGGTGGCGCTAGCGAGTCATTTTGCAACGCCCATGTGCGAAACTTGTAGAATACGAAATTTTTCACCGGTTCTGACATGTTTGCAAATGTTGGTGAGTTTTCGAGAATGTTTAGGCCATGTCAGTTGAGCCTACTTTGCAGAAAAAAATAAAAAATAAAAAAAATAAAATATATATATATATATATATATATAATCCGAGCAAATTCAATAGGGACCTCGCACGGTCGTGCTCGGGCCCTAATAATCCGAGCAAATTCAATAGGGACCTCGCACGGTCGTGCTCGGGCCCTAATAAATAAAATATATATATATATATATATATATATATATATAAAATCTTAGCAAATTCAATAGGGACCTCGCACGGTCGTGCTCGGGCCCTAAAAATATAATCTTAGCAAATTCAATAGGGACCTCGCACGGTTGTGCTCGGGCCCTAATAAAACAGTAAGCATGTGCGTGTAGTTTTTAACAAATGTTATTCTATTTTTAGCAGCAAATGTATCCACATTCTCTGCTCTTGTGAGTATTTCTGGCAGCTGTACAGTGTATGTTGGACTGAGTCCAAATAAATTGTGTTTGTTCCCTGTGATGAAGGAACATGTCACCCAATGCACAGGTGTAGCTCATTGATGTGTTTTTTTTTATCGTTTTAGACAACAACGGAGCTCTATGGCTCAGAGGAATAAGAAGCTATGGTATCCATAGCTTCTTATTCCTCTGAGCCATCACACAGTACTTGTTAATTTAACTCATGATGTCCAGCTTTTCAAGCAAGCTTTAGCTATTTTTTATTTGAGAAGAATCAGCAACACTTCTACAAGCAGCTCTTTACTGGTCAAACCTCACTCAAAAAGCTCAGTAAAAAATGTTGTTTAAAGGAGCTAACATAACTCGTTGCTTTTTTCATGAAATACTGAAGGATACCTGACGAATTTAGAGGAAAGCTATAATCCCTTCTTAATTTCACCAATTTAACTAACTTAAACAGTGGATGATGAAGGTTAGGGAGATTGTAGGCCGTGGGAAAACAGAAGAATGGACTTTCCACTTCTCCATACAAACAATACTAATATTTAGAACTCTCAGTCTAGATTAAATCAATGCCAGAAGCCTTTCAGAAGTAAAGTTGAGATCTGCTTTTTTTTCCTCTTGTCTTTTTTCATCAATCAGGGTTTCTAAGCACAGGAGACCAGGCAGCCAAGGGCAACTACGGCCTGTTGGATCAAATCCAGGCTCTCAGGTGGATAAAAGAAAATATCCAGGCCTTTAAAGGAGACCCGAAGAGAGTGACCATTTTTGGCTCTGGTGCCGGAGCATCGTGCGTCAGCCTGCTCACCCTTTCACATTACTCAGAAGGTATGTCTACTCACAGGCATACATAAACACTGCACAAAGATATGCTCACACTCAAAGGGCCTTTTCATCAATTTGTCATTTCTGCTATATATGTTATCTATTCATCATACTTTGATATATTGTTGGTTTCATAACAAGGCAGGTGTGAATGGCAACGTTTAAACTCTGGTCAAAGTAGTGATTGCAAACTTAAGTCTGGATTGATTCACATATTCAGGCATTTGACAACAGGATAGAAGGACATTATAGCAATGACAAGCAGTTCATGCTGGTATAACCAGTAAGGCCCTTTATAGCCAAACACCTGTTATCACAGGTTGCATATAAGCTGTGAGAAAAGAGAAGTTTCTTTCTTAGATCAGGGCGGTAGTGCTCAAGTCTGATCTGGAGATGTTTCTTTCTATTATCTTGTTGTAATCAAACTTTTATAAATAAAGCACCATTTAGGCAGATTTATATTGTTTCCTGTCCCTATCACATTTTAATCTTTTCTAATCCAAAGGAATGTACTGAGTGATGGAAGTGATCACACTTGACTCTAATGAACAACAGAAACAAACAGAATAAAAAACTTTATATGGGCACTGTTTTAATTTTACTTTTGTCTTAGTATTGACTTTTGGTTTGAGCCATTTGGACTCCGGAAACTGGGCTTGGGCTTTTCTTTGGATCCACTTAAGTCATGACTACAGCCCTGGTTCAGTTTGGTCATTCAATAGAAAAAAGGTAAATATTATATGTCTAACACTCTTATTTATCTTTCCACACCTGAGGGGGTACTGACCTTTAGGGTGGGATCCATTGGTTTGACACTTTAACATATTGAGGCATAGTCAATATAGTAGCATCTGGGGGCCACTCACTAGGCATTTTTAGACTGCGTATTTCCTTCAAAATATTTAGTTTTCTGTTTTGACATGCAATGTTTGGGTAGAGGACATGGTAGTAGCAAGAAAGAAGCATGAGCTGAATCGGTTCAGTAGCATCAGTAATTTAAATAGTCTGTTTTGTACCTTTTCATCAGATTACTTGTGGCATCATATGTGATCACCGCATGCAGAGACAACAACCAAAAGATGTCTTCATTCAAGTGTGTATTCTACCTCAGTCTACAAGCATGTGAGGTGAAGGAACAAATGCAAACAGATTTTGGATTATCATACCATATTTACATATTTATTTATATGTATTATTAATGGTCATTTTAAATAGAAGAGCCCAAATGTCATTCTTTTTGCTGGCTCCACAAATGCATAGTTTTGTGCAACACAAATGTATAAAACCAGCAAGGGAAATCGCCTGACCCATCTGTCAGAAAAAATGATTTGGAGGACTGGAAGTGCTGCTGCAGTTCCTTGGTCATTTCCTCTCCATGTGGGACAAATACAGGCTTGTATTGCCCCTTCCCATAAAGTCATCCTTTTTATCTTGCTGGTAGAAGCCCTTTGGGTTTACCTCCTAGGCAATCAAAGTGAGGGAGACGTTGTATTTGCTGTTTTGGTCAGTTATTAGGTCTGTTTCATTTTTCTTCATCATGTACCTGAGGGAATAGGAATGGCTTACTTTACATTTAGATACAAGTCCTTATGTTCTGGTGGGCAGCAAGTCAACGCTCTAGGGCACTGCCAGCATTATTTCTGATTTATAATATATCATCAAGAAAGGTAATGCTTCTTCTTACATTTGCTCATGTAACCTGGACATCTGCAAGGTCAAAACTACCAGTATGTATTGTTCTGAAGTTAACATCTAACTTGAGCTTTAACTGACACTCCACATCTGACTAACAGTGGCAGCAGTAAAAGCCCATACACTGCTAACCAGGCCTTGTGGGCATTGGCGGATTAAAGTGGTCATGGGCCCCTAGGCTGCTTTTTGTGTGGCCCCCTCCTAAGCATGCTTTATCAGAAAAAAATTATTTAGTGCCATGTGTAAAGGGGTAGGCCTATATCACACGCCTCAATTGCAACACTCAGGTCTACAGCCCAAACACATTCAGACATTAGCCTACTATAAACAGCAATGTCAGAGAAAAAAAGTCTTCAAAATGCACCTGCAAGCTGGCAACAGATTTTACCTTTCTAAACCAACAGTTAGGTCAAAAACATCTGCAGCAGTCAGTCTATTTTTAACTAGTCCCAGTTTTGAAAAAGAGCGCTCCCCGCTGGCATTGGTTACAGGCAACATCATAAACAGACGGAGTGCTATATCAACGTTTGGAAACACTGATTGTAGTTTCCATCCTCTTATAAGTTGCAGAAGTGACCTTGCTGAGGTGTCTTTGTTCTCTTTAATAAATTCTCTTGTACAATTTTGTCCTCCAGATCACCTGCATATTTATTCTGGAGATTAGCTGCTCCTGTACGAAGTTCTTGTACGGATATAGATGGAATATTGTTCAAAAACCCAAATGTCTGCTGAATATCTTTGTAAGAGAGATACCTCCGATGCAGTTCACTTCGATCTATGACAGCGATAAAAACAGTGGCTTTGAATTTGTCTTGGCCTGATCGCTCAAACTCCGGTTCATTAGATTAATCATCTTGTTTTTTCCTCTGTATGTCCGCTTTGTAGTGTTGGGACAAAGTTGGAGACAGGTTTTTTGCTTCACTCTCAAAGTTGTCAAAATCATCACCTAGGCTGGCCGCATAATCCCTCAATGAGCTGATCAAATTAACAGCATTACATAAATCCAAAAGTTTTTCCATTTTCACATAGAGCGTCCTGGCTTCATACCTAGCCTACCATCACCCAACTTTTGCAGTGACTCTTGAATTCTGGCGTAATTCTGGTGTACTACTTTTGTTGCTTGCGCGTGGGCTGACCATCTAGTGTCTGAAAGACTTTTCAAAGTCTTTATCATGTGAATCCTATCCTAAGAACGCAACCACCCATTTTAAAACCTCAGACCAATATTCACATTCATTGTGAAATTGTTTTTTTAGCTGTGAGTGCAGACTTAAGATCAACTCCCAAAATAATGTACATGCAAAACAAAACACAGAGTCCATTGAAGGGGAATAAAGCAACCAATCTCTTGGCACAGTTTCGCCATTTGCCAGCTTTCTTCTAAACAGGGTTTTGGAAAAGTACTTCTTTTGGTGTTTATGTTGTCTTTCTGAGACAGAGACATCTGCGTCTTTGTTCTGACAAGTTTCAGCTCCAATTTTATCCCAGCATGCAGGATCCGAGCTATAAGTAGGGGGATCTGTAGACTCTTGTTCCCTCTCCGCAGCAACAGCGTCATCAGAATCAGAATCAGAAGAGTCAGAAGGAGCTTTATTGCCAAGTAGTGTTTTACACATACGAGGAATTTGCTGTGGTGATAAGGTACTACACGTAGAGAAACATACAGTAAACATAAATAAATGTAGAAATATATAAATATGGAATGGAAGAACAACGTTACAGATATATACATGTGCATTATTCTGGGTCTGTGCCGTGCAGAAGTAACGCAACGGAAGGGAATATTGTGTACATATAAATATATAAACTGACAACATAAAAATATACAACAACAAAGATCAACAATCAACAACAAATATGTGCGACGTGCCAGGTCTGTGCCCAACACGAGATGAAACAGTATTTACATGTGCAGAGACATTGGTATCATTTGCAAGGGGGGAGTATCAGTGGGGGACCCGGGCCTTGTTAATGAGGCTAGTTGCAGACGGGAAGAAACTGTTTTTGTGGCGAGAGGTTTTGGTCCTGATGGACCGCAGCCTCCTGCCAGAGGGGAGAGTCTGAAACAGTTTGTGTCCGGGGTGGGAGGGGTCAGTTGCAATCTTTCCTGCTCGCCTCAGAGTCGTCGAGGCGTACAGGTCCAGAAGAGAAGGAAGATTGCAGCCAATCACCTTCTCTGCAGAGCGAATGATGCGCTTCAGCCTGCCCTTGTCTCTGGCAGTGGCAGCAGCGTACCAGATGGTGATGGAGGAGGTGAGGATGGACTCAATGATGGCGGAGTAGAAGTGCACCATCATTGTCTTTGGCAGGCTGAACTTCTTCAGCTGCCGCAGGAAGTACATCCTCTGCTGGGCCTTCTTGGTGAGGGAGGTGATGTTCAGCTCCCACTTGAGGTCCTGGGAGATGATGGTGCCCAGGAAGCGGAAGGAGTCCACAGTGGTGACTGGGGAGTGTAATGGGAATTCCAAACATATTGCATGTAACCCTGGACTCAGGGAGACTCATCTGTGATGTGGCACTGAATCTGTGTAAACATAACAGTCAAAATATCTCTGTTCTCTGTGGTATCCAGACTTCAGGGACAATGTGTCTCTGTGGGATGATAAGATTGACCCTAAAGCTGGATAAATAACAGGCTCACAGAACTCTCCTCACTCATTCGAGCACACATGTACACAGCGTATGTGTGTTGCTGTGAGTCCTTCTGCAGAAGACGAATAAAACTCACAGAAAGACAAGTGTTTGCCTGAGCTGTTTATTTAAACACTTGGGTAGATGTGGCCCACACCTACCCAATCAGCCTTATTTTTCAATGTTTTATATGAGCAAATGTCAATTAATAAAATATCCTGGCCAATCCGGGGCCCTTGCACATGTGGGGCCCCTAGGCTGCAGCCTAGACCAGCCTGTGCATTAATCCGCGTCTGCTTGTGGGAAATGTATGCTGTGTGCTTTTCAAGTGGGTCTGGTTGAGACATCACACCATGTGTTTCCATCAGTATAAATAGCACTCTAAAACGAAAACACACACATACCTAGAGTGCTTCTAGTGCAGGGGTATTCAATTAGAATTCAAAGAGGTCCAGTTAGAGAAAATTTCCCGAAGCTAAGGTCCGGAACATCATAACAACTAACTTACATTATCATTCAGTACCATAACGTATAGTTGTATCAACATATGTTTTTAGTCAACAACGGACTGTCAAATCAAATAATATTTCAGTCAGTTTTCACATTAAACTGGAGGGTTCTGTTATCTGTTCAGGACGTACTGCTGACGTATTGCGGTAAGTGTGTCGACTCATTTTCGT